CCCAAGTAAAGACGTGTTTTGGCGGGGTTTCCTTTTTTGTCTGTCTGGTTTCGGAGCTGTTCCCGATCACTGCATTGGTACTTGTACTGCAGGACATGGACGGGCTGGCGGTCATTCGGGAGACCAGCGGGGTACGTGAGCGATTGAGTGCGTCCGGAGGAGGGGGGTGAAGGAGGGGGAAATCATGTGCGAGAAACTGAAGAGATAAACTGAATTCATCCGAAGTGGGAGGAGAAAACGGGAAAATGGGTAGTGAAAGGGGGAGGGGTGAGATGTCTCCCTGGGGCATGGGCAGGAGTGAAGGGGGGAGTGGAGGGGGAGAAAGGGAGGAATGTTTTGCCCTGGGACGACGATGGCTTTCTTATTGGGGGGAATTCGGACAGCGGGGAAGGGCAGCCCCCAGCAGCCTGGCTAGTGGCTTTGCGGGCCCTGCAGGGCCGTAGTAGACCCCGGGGGGACGGCCACGTGCGGTGACTTGTGTCCTTTGGGCCCATTGCCGCCGCCGCTGTGGTGGTGGTGGTGGTGGTGGTGGAGGGGCGTCACACGGTGTGACATCTCCCAGCAAAACCCAACAGGCAATCCTCACCCTGCCAGAAGCCGCCATTGTCTGTATGTATGTATCTGCGCTGCACCCTCTTCCTCCACACAGCAGGCACCGGGTACCAGCACCAAACCCACCAGCTCCGATCTAGGCGCCTCCCTCTCCAACAGCAGCCAAATCCCCGCGAGCTCACGCGACTCGCATGGCGCGGCGGGGGCTCCGGCGGGGCGCGGCGGCAGTAGCAGCACCAGCCGCAACACGCCTGTGGTTCAGCAGCAGCAGCAGCACGCATCTCCGCCGGGGGTCGCGGCGGCGGCGGCGGCGGCAGGGACACCCAGGAAGCCCCAGGACCAACAACCGCTGACGGAGGCGGCGCTGCTGAACTTGTTGCCGGTGTCGTCCTTCCAGGACTCCCGGCCCCTCACGTCGGCCCAGGGCCCTGCGGACAGCCAAATGCCACCGTCGCCGCTGCCACTACAGCAGCAGCAGCAGCAGCGGCCTTCTTCGTTTCAGCGACATGCGATCCCCAGATCCGCACCGGCGTCGCCGCGGTATCCAGGTACGGCAATGGCGATGGCAGACGCGGCTTCCGCGGCGGCGGGGACGGCAGGGGCAAGCGGGGCGGCTCCGCCGGGCTCGGGCGGCAGGGAGCGGCGCTCCAGACGGCCGTCGGCGACGCCGGACGGCCCGGGTGGCGGCGGCGGCGGCTATCGTACGTCGCCGGGGGTGGGTCCTGATACGGGAGCCTCGGCCGCCGGCAGGACGGCGGTTGCTGTACTGCAATCTGGGTACGACTCGGACATCAATCCCTCGGCGAGGGCAACGCCGCTGAGACAGTCACAGTACCGGGTGACTGGCGGCGGCGGCGGCGCTACGCCGCCCCACGGTGGGCGGCCTTTCTTGGCCAAGCCGGGTAGCCTTGGGACGATACTGCCGGAGGGCGTTCCTCTGAGTGCGGCCAACAGCGTGGTGATGCACGAGAGCTGGACCGAAACGCCCCGAGGCGAGGTGGCGGGTTTGGCAGGCATGATAGGAGGTGGGGGAGGAGGAGGTCCGGGGCCGGGGGGCTCGGGTGTGGAGCAGCAGGAGCGTTGGCGGGGGGGAGGAGTAGGAGGGGGTTACGCTACGCCGCCCGGAGGCAGCGGTGGCGGCTGGGGCGGTGTGGGGCTGGGTCCCGGACCGTCGCAGTCCGCTTGGCGATGGGCACGAGCGCAGGTGGTGCAACAGCAGCAGCCTCCGACGGCACAATCATTGCTACAGCAGCTACAGCAACAACAAGCTCTGCTAACGCAACAACAACAACAGCAGCAGCAACAGCAGCTACAGCAAGTGCCCTTATCGCTGCTGCACCGCGCACCAGCGGCGCCGACCGGCTCTGCCCGGCTGCCGGCGCTTCACCTCCTGGTCCCCGGCTTGCCGATTTCGTCTCCACAGCCGCTGCTGCCACCACCTGCCTCCTTCGCCACGCCGGGACCGTCGTACCTACAGTCCAGCACCGGCAGTCTGTCGTACGCACAGATGTTGGCGGCAGGACACGGTTTCGTGGACACGGGCGGGCTGTTGGTGTCGCAGAGGATGGGAGGGGCTGTGGGTGGTGGAGGTGTCGGCGGCAGCTTATCGCTTGGGGGTGCTCCGGCGCTCGCGCCCCTTGGGGGTGCTGTGCTGATTCACGGGCGGCCGCAGTCTCCGCACGGGGGTCTCAGTATTTCCCGTTTGTGGAGGGGGTTGTCGGGTACGAGCAGCTCCGTTGGCGGCGGCGGCGGCGGCTCCGTTGGCGGCGGGTGGACTGGGGCGTCATCGGCACGGCAGTCACCCCTCCGAGGGGGGCCCTTGGCTGGGCAGATGCAACGGCCGCTGCGGCCCTGGTAACAGCAAAAAAGGGAACGAAAGCGGAAATATCCACGAAAAGAACCAGAAAGTAGATATCAGGCAAATTGCTCGCGCGAACCCTTGAGTATTGGTAGTGTAGTAGCGTAGTTGCAGAGTAGCTTCGGTAATATTACGAAACGTGACGTATGAGTACTGTGTTTTGGTCACCTGGGGGGGTCTCTGGAGGGATCCAATTTTTGCCTAATTATGAAAAATGTCGGGTAGGGTCGGGACGATGGGTGGACTGATGGTGGGGCCTGATGACGTTTGTGCGTTACCTGTTAGACAACACATGGCCCAACCCTAAGCCCACCACGTTAAGATGCCGCGCCAGCACATAGCGCGTGTGGGATGTACGTCAATATTTGTGTTCGTGTGTGTGTGTGTGTGTGTGTTTTGCGCGCGCAGTGAGGAAAGTGTGCACGGGAGCGTAGCGAGTGAAAAGGGGAAAAATTGAGAAAAAGTTTTTGGGGGTGAGTGCAAGGCTGAAGGGCGCACGGAAAGGGTGCGGATCAAGTAGTACTGTAGGGGGGATTGGGCAGATGTGGGTTGCGGCGTTTTTGTCTGTCGCGCGCGTGAATAAATTGTTTGGTTTGTGGCCGTCGTTTTTGGCCGCTTTCGGAGCCATTACTGCTGCTGCTGGTACTGCAGCTGCAGGCGCGCGTACTGCACCTTGGTTCGGAAAACTCGTCCTTGCGCATGCTGTAACCGAGCATGACGCTTACCATGTATCTAATCGGTTGCGATTCCACTCCTAGAAGGACGTGCGTGCAAAGAAATGCAAGGGCATTGCATTGCTATGTAGGTGAAATGCTTGCATTCGGAGGGGATGCAGGGGCTTGAGTTCCGAGCGTGCCTAGATAGGAACCCTAATTGCCCCTCGTTGGTGTTGGTTGCACATGGAGGGCGGGGGCTTAAGCGACCCAAACCTCAACCATCCAAGATGGCGACAAGACAGCGGTCCCTTTGGTGACGACCTGATGGAGTTTTTGTTTCTGCGCAGCCGCCTGCCTGGTTTGTGCTGTGCCTTGTTCACCCGTGTTCGTGCTCCGGGATTTGTGAGCTGAGATTTGCGTCACAGCCACATGGCTCTACTGGGGTGCCGCGTAGATGCGTGTAGCCGGGCATGGGAACGGCGTTCACAGCCAGGCGCCAGAGCGTTTCCTTGTGCTCCCGCTCCCACTTAACCGCCCACAGCCGTCGCAGTGTTTCCGGCATGCAGCAGCCATGCTGCGTGGGGGCTGCGGCTGCCGCTGCTGCGGCTTGTTGCTGCCTCGCTTCCTGCTAGTACGCTGCAGGCAGGCAGGTCCGGTGCTCCATGACCGCCTGTAGCTATAGGTGTGGCGAGCTTGACCGCGAGGCCGCTCAGTTTCACGTGCAGCGAGGCCCCCAGCCGCCAGCCGACACGGCCCACCAGCCGCGCACGTACCACGTCCTCGGAGTACATTCCTGCTGCATGCTCTGGGTGGTCCAGGACCTCTGCTGCCGTTGCTCTCCATGCTGGGCTGATGTCCGCAAGCAGGCGCTGGATCGAACCAAGGGTGGGCCCCCGCCGGAAGCTGGTCGTGCCGCGGGGCGCCAGATGGGTTTGTACCCACTGGTCCCATGCAGCCGCATGGAGGACATCCTCTGCCGATCTGCACCGCATCGCCCACCGTCCGCAATGCCGTGCAGGCCGCAAGCCGTGTGTCGCGGCTTTGGAGCCCACACCGGGTAAAGCGGATGGCCATACAGTAGTGTCTCCAGACCAGACCATATGACTTGAGTGATCTTGACTGATTGGCAATGGTAAGGCAATCGGGAGGTAGCTAGCTGCGCCTAAATAGCACGCCGTCGTGCGAGTTGATTTTTATCAGGAATTGAAGCTCAGGTGGAACTGCGAAAGGGGGAATATGGCTAATGTGGTCGCTGCAGGGATCTTTTTAAATCAGTGGGGCGAGCTGTGGCGCGGCGCCACGGTACGCGGCCGGCCTTTACCGGGAAGCTGCCAGGGCAATAACGGCGGCAGCTTCTTCCGCCTTGTTGTTATTCATGTACTTAAGGGTTGTAGCAGTGAAGGAAGAGACTGACTGGAGATGTGGTGTGCGCGACTGAACTGGATTGAGGCCATCAATCAGCTTGCAATGCGGCAACTGTGACCTTCAAGAATTAAATTTTACGGAGGAAATGCAGCAGCGCGGCACAAAGGCTCTTTCCGGTGAAACGTCGAGGACACCATTCTAGGGTTATCCTAATCTGCGGGTTGGACTGTAGCAGCTGTCAGGTGCTGTCAGGAGGCAATGGTCGGGGTCCTCGAGGTGATGGGTCGTTGGCAGGTCCATGGTGCAATTGAGGTTGTTGGGTGTGTCGCACTTGCGTAAAACAGCGGACCAGCTGCCGTGGGGCTGAATGCCGCATGACACGACCGACATCTGCAGGTGGCGTGTGAAGCCGGCGAGCCGGCCTCTCGTGACCTCTAACGCCACAGAGCGTTTTCCGCTCGGTCTCTGAATGCCTGTACTGTACTGTGGTGCAGTACAGAAGAGGTCTTGCAAGTGGCCAGCTAGCCTGCGGGTCGGAGAGATGGGCATAACAAGACCCTAGTAACCTTGGTTTCGGTGTCGTTATTTCTCTGGTGCCCTCTCAAAGCAGCCAAAGTATATAGTTCAAACAATCCAAGGCCGTTCAGAGGCGGACCCGGGACAAGAGTCCACTCCTCGCCCCGTACGGTACCGATAAGCGCAATGCCTGCATCCCCACCTGCTAATCAAGAAATGTTCCAGCGTGACCTGCGTGCACGACTCCGAGCTCCGAACTATTATAGGTCATCCTAGCCTCCTCTATATATGCCGTACATACGTCTGCTTCAGCTCTGGGCCCTGCCGTGGAGCAGTGTGCTGCGTGATGCACGCCAGTTGTCTTCCCCCAAATCCCTTGGTAGGCCGCAGCAGGAGCCGCACCTCAGATGTTCAATCCGTTTAAATCCTGCAGGTGTGCAGTCCTGCAGCCTGGCCAGCAGAACAGCATGCCATGTCAACAGCACGCACACGCGAAGGTACATGTCTATCCGGAAACTGTAAGAAAAAGCGCTGTTAGAACACCAATCACAAACACAAACAACACCGATAAGCGGCCATTCCACGCCGTCGAGCGCTGTGTGGCGCAGCAACCGTGGGAATGCCGTGTGCCATTTCGCGACCGCAAAGGAACAGACACAGATGGCCAACCCGCATCTCAAGACGGAGTCTCCCGTCTGCCCTCAACGACGGCTCTTCTTAAAGTCATCTGCATCGTCGTCGTCGTCGTTTCCGTCGTCAGCCAGCTCCGCCTCCTCCGTGTGGCCTGCTCGGCCTCGCTTTTGTCCTGCCATGGCGCCTCCACCTGGACGCCGTTCGCCCTCGACCTTGCCGGCCACCCCTCCCCCACCTCCCCCTCGCCCTGCAGCCACCCCTCCACCTCCGGGTGCAAAGTAATCGGATATGCGGCGGCTCCCAGCCGCTGCCGCTGCTGCCTTGCTACCGCTTCGTGCCGCTGCCGACTTGCTGTCAGAAGTGCCGACAGCCCGCGTTTCTGCACGTTCATCGTTACCAAGATCGGAGCCGGGGCTGGGGCCGCTCCCGTCAGCGCCACCAGGCAGCGGCGGAGGAGGATGGTTTGCAGCCGCATTGGTGCCCAGGTTGCGAACCTCCCGAGTCGTGTCGACCTGAGGGGGCGGGGTGGGATCAGAGTGTGGAGATGTGTACGCGTGGCACTTTGAGGCTGTGAAGGTTGTCCTCCTCAGGGGCAATAGCCCACGAGCCTAAAAGTCGCAATACGAAGGCAGGTTCTTGCAAGGTATAATACATGAACGGAAGTACACGTATGTTGCAATGGATCATTTCATCAAAGAAAGCCCTAGACCAAGCCAATGCAAGGTCTAGACGAGCCAAAGGCCCATAGACCTGCAACGCGAGTTCAAAAAACAAAAGAGTCGGGGGAAACTATTTAGCCCGATGGTGAGAAAGAGATGACTTAGTCCAGGGTTACGCGCCTGGGCAAGGAACGGAACGGAACTATGTTCAAGAGGCATGAACAAGTCACGAGCGGAGAGGCCAGCTAGGGTCTCTACATCCCACGACATGGCCTCGCCGTAGCCAGTATCCCCACAGCCCTCTCCGCTTTGCCGCCGTTGCCTCCATGACAATTTCTTTATCGCGCATTGTGGCGGCGCCGCGTACCTTGATGAACGCACCGCTGCCGTCAAGTACCTTGCCCACATCACTCAGCTTGTTCTGTGTGGAAGTGCAGCAGGACAGGGAGAGGGAATGGACAGGCAGGCAGGCAGACCCGGCTGGTCGGTTAAGTAAAGCGGAAAAGGCCCCGGCGCACTGCCACCTTCCACCTAACAACCACACGTAGCCAACGGTCGCCTTCTCGCAGCTGATGTTCCTAAATGGAGAGTATACAGGCACCAGACCGGCAAAGGGACACCAGCAAAGCCGCCGCCGCAGCAGCAGCGCGCTCAAGATGCAGGCACAGGATGATACACATGGATTGTTAGACGCGCTGCCATAGCAGCTCTCAGCCCTCCCCGCCAAGATGGGCAGCCGGGTTAGTCGCTGCCCTGCGGCTATATCCATCCATCCCTCCAACGACACCGGCTATGGTTGCATGCTGCGAGCAAAGGAGCTGCTGCGCCCCCATCCCCTCATTCTCCTCTCCCCAGCGGCCCTCCTGCTCACGTCCGGTTTCGCGGAGTGCGCTGCCTCCTTCGTTTAATATCCTATTGCTGCAAATAGAGACCTCCCGTGTACCCCGGCCGCCCGCAGCACCCACCCTTCCTCTTTCCCCTTCTTGAGGGGAACACACCGCCTCTCCCATAACCACTGTACAGTTGCCGCCGCCTGCCACACAGAAGACACACGCACACACGCACCTGCAGCGTGTCCCACATGAGCTCGTCAATGGAGCCCCGCACCAGGAGGAAGTGGATGTTGACGGAGGTGTGTTGGCCGATGCGGTGGCAGCGGTCCTCCGCTTGCTGGATGTCCCCCGGAACCCAGCTCAGCTCTGTACATGACAGGTAGGGGATGAGGCAGCATATTGGAAGGGACGGGGGGCGGGTTCAGGGCACGGCAGGCACACAGCAGAGGCTTTGGCGCAAGGTGCATGATGCAGAGCCAGTGCACCGTGGGCATGTTTGTGTCGGGGGCCCGGGGAAGAGAGGAAGCCCACTGTGCCATGGCGTTCTCGTGCCAATGTAGGCCAACGGGCCAATCTGTTTTTCTTAAAGTGAACTGAGCCGCAAGGCATTAGTGCTGGCTAGTTAGTAGTGTTGCCACTCTATTACCGAGCTAATAGAGGCCCATCTTCAGGTGGCGCAAATTGGTCATGTCGGGCCCCGTCGTCGTGCAGCTTCCGCATGCCGGTAGCGCTCACCCCCTCCATCACCCCGTCTAAGTTCCCTCCTCACCTGCGAAGACCACCAGGCTGGATGCGGTCATAGTGAGTCCCACTCCTGCAGCCTTGATACTCAAAATGGCCACCTGTTGGGTGAGCGGGGTAAAGGAGCCGAGGAGAGAACCCCAGGCATGCGGATGGGGACAGACGAGCCACAGACAAGTGAAGCTGATACCAGGCGGGTGGGGTGGAGACGGGGCCCGGGGTTGGGAGCGAAAAAACAATAGTTCGGCGAGAAGCAGGAAACATCCAGATAAGGGGCGTGCGTGCGGTATGTCTGTGCGTATGTCTGTGTCCATGTCTGTTCAGAGAAGGTTGAGGTGACCCCGAAGGTGGAGGACGGGAGGGAGGGAAATATTTGCGCGGTGTGGTGCGGTGTGGAGGTCCGCATCTTTTCCGCGTCCACCCACCTTGACATCTGCGTCCTCCTGGAATTGCTTAACGAGCCTGCCGCGGTCATCACCGCTGGTGCCGCCGTCGATGCGAATGTAGCGTGCCTTCAACGACTTGACCTGCGCCGAACAGAACACAGCCGGGAGGGAAGGCAGCCGGGCAGCTGTTCAGCTAGGCGACTAGGAAGGTGGGAAGGTAGGCACTCGGGCAGGTGGGGCCGCTTTTCTCCACCTCGTTGCAGCCAGCGGAAAAAAAGGCAGGAGATACCGCGGAGTGCAACGGATCGGGTGCCAAGGAGCCGAACGCCAATGCGCCATCACGCTTGCTGAAGGTGGATCGTACAAGTCGGCACTGGACAGGGCCCACCACATTCCCCTCGGCCCCCGTCACCGCTTCATCTAGCCCATTCATCCACACTCGACCCCCTCATCCAGATCCAGCTTTCGTCAACTTAAGTTTCTACAGCCCCTCTCCCCCTCCAGAAAAACTCTGAAAAAGCCTGAAATAACTCTTCAACGCCTAAAACCTCCTCCTGCTCTGCCCTTCCTCCCCGCTGGTAAACTCGCCTTCTCCTCCACCGCATCCAGCAGCACCTTGTGGTGTGCGAACAGCAGGAACTTGGCTCCATCCGCCTCGAGGAGGTCCGAACAGTACTCCGCCACCGCCGTTTTCTTGATCTCCGCAGTATCCCGCCAAAGCCTCATGATGGTCTGTTGCTGCTCGTGAGACACACCTGGGGGGGGGAGGGGATGTCGGGGCAGAAAGAAGGGGTCCCCGGGGGCCCCAAGGTAGGGGGAGGTAAGGGGGGAGGCGGGCGGACAGGAGCATGGCATTACATATGCCTTATCAGCTATTATCAGCATCAAAAGTACTTGCAAAAGGGCAACGAAGGAGCAGTACCCGGTCTGAAGGGGTTCCCATCGCGGTGATGCAGGGGATTGGGGCAAGGGTTTGGAAGCCATTTGAAGATGGGGAACAGGACTATTTTTGGCAGTTTGGGGAGGTAACGGAATGGGGACAGCGCAGAGCGGAGGTGGCAGGTTCGGAGGAAAACTTAAATGCCTTTGCATGCATCTTCTGCACGGGGCACTGGCAGCGCAACCAAAGAAGCGTATACAGATGGTAATAACAGTCAAAAGGCACCCTTTCCCTTCCCTTGCTTGATGCAGCAAAAAAGGATATCATCATTACCATCACCATCATCATGATCTCATCAGCAGCAGCAGCAGCAGCATCGCGCGCTCACCCGCCAGGCCGGATGCTCCCCCGGCCGACATCATTGAATTGGCCACCGCCCGGATGCCCTCCAGCTCCCGTTTCATCTTGCCTAGTTCCCGCGTCTCCTTGTCGGGCAGCCGGATGAAAACCTGCAGCCGGGGGATGGGGGAGGACAGACACACAGACACACGGCACACCTTCGCAACCTCATTTGCGCAGATACAGGCAGGTAGCGAGGGCCCCAGGCAGGGTAAAACCCTTGAGGCCCCCACATCCCCTCCTAAGCACACGCCCTCAGTCAGCCAGCCTGCCAGCCAGTCGCAATCCCGATTACCCCAGCTACCGCGGCCACCGCCAACGCCTTTCACTGCTGCAAGTTTCCTCCCCACGCACCTGCTGCCTCTGCTTGGCAGGCAGGTGCTTGAGCACATCGGCCTTGAGTCGGCGCACCATGACCACTCCCTGGAGCAGCCGGTTAAGCTCCGTTTCGTTCTTCGAGCCGCGAAACTTACCAGGGTGCCTGCAAAGGTTTTGCATACGCGTGTGAGGGGTTGGATGTGTGCAGGGTTGGATGCGTGCGGGGTTGGGGAGAGATCAAATATACAAAATGTAAGGAGTCGACTGCCGAGGTCCGAAGCACGACGTTCAAAGCGTATGGAAAGGAGTGAAGAGTTTCGGGAACGAGAGGCGGGCCCCAGGATATGAAGTAATGACAGGGAGTAAGTATGGAACACACGGGCGACAGGATGATTTTGAAAACGAAAAACATGGAAACGTATATAGGACCTCAAGCTTGGCCAGGCGCTTGAAAAAGGTGTGCTAGTGTTATTGTTAATGGTGGGAGGTCGCGTGCCGACCTGGACTTGATGCCGCAGCAGCTGTGAAGGAGGTTAAGGACGCGGCCGACGAGAGTTGGGAAGGCGGATGCGGGGGGGGCCCGGTATAGAAAGACCGAAACATAGACCGGAGTGAACGACCAGGGCCCTCCTTCCCATCCCTTCTGTTCCCAGCCACCACCACCCAGGGGAAGAATAAGGGGGATCCCGTCGCTCTGAAACCCCGGCACTCCGCATTTAGTCTCACATGAAATCTGGAACGCAGTAACGCTCGTTGAATGCGTTGGCCTTGATTCCCGCTGTTGGGAACAGCCCTTGCAGCAGCGGCACCAGCTCGTTGGGTTTGGACAGCGCGGGGGTGCCGGTCAGCAGCACCGCGTGACGAGCCTGCTTGATCAGCGGCAAGGCGGCCTCCGTGCGCTTCGCCTGTGAATGCGCATGACATGTGATGGCATGACAAACACCAACAAAAGCATAGGCAAAAAATCGACATAAGGAGGAATTAAAAGACGAGGTGGAACGGGCGCACGATAGAGTGCACGGCGAATCTGGACGTATGTAGGTGGGAACGAAGGACAGAGTCCAGAGGCATGACCCGCAACCAAGGCTCCGGTGGGGAGTGAGTGGGGAGTGAAGTGAAGAGAGGAGGAGGAACATGTAGAAACACTTGGGAGAGGGAGGGAGAAGGCGAGAAGGGAAGAGGAGGAAATCCTGGAGGGGAATGGAGTGGGGTGCGGAGGGTAAGGGAGGTACGACGTCCCGCCTGGGTCCCGGCCTGGTAATCACAATAAGAAACTCTTAAAAGCTTATTGAAATTTGTCAATAATAAAAAAGGTACATCAAGTAATGAGTCGATCAACGCAGCTAAAGAGAGATGCGGGTAGAGGGCGCTGGAAAGGCGGGTAGGTCATGGTACAGCCCGTGCGGAGACGCACATGCGCGTATGCATGGTAAAGCCAGGAAAAGCCAAGGAGAAAAGGCGCTGTGTCGCGCAGCAGGCGGCAACCGTGGGAGATGCAACACAGCCAACACAGTTGGGAAGCAGTGCTGATCTCTCGTTATACCCACGTACACATCTTTTTTGGAATGCGAGAGGAGGAGGTACTACGGCCCAGGGGGCGGAGGCCGGGGGAAGTGGACCCAGAGAGCGCTTTTCCCCTTCAACACCAGGCCCCCATCCGCGCATCCGACGCCGTGGCCGGACCTAAGGGTGCCACCTATCGTAACGCAGCGACAATCGACACCGAGCTATCAACACGGCCCCCAAATGGCAGGAGGGAAGGACCGGGAAGCCTCTGCTGATACCGGGACTTCCGGCGCCATCCATCTGATACGTGGTACTGGGTCGCGCTCCTACCTTGCCGTTCTTGATGTAGTGCGCCTGAGTTCATGACGTCAGGGACATGACAGGGGGCAGGTTTAACAAGGAAGCGGCGGCTGGAGGGAGGGGGATTGATTGGCAGATGTTCAGAAGGTGTGTAGGCGGTGTGAAAGTGTCCGTAATCCAGAAAGGTGAAAATCGACATCCAGGTCAAGGTGGCGGGACGGGGTGCTGCTCTAGTATGCCGAATGAAGGAACGAAGCAGGAGAAAGAAGCAGGAAATTGAAGAGGACAGGGCTCTCGAGGGGAGCATTGTCCTGATTGTTCTTGAGGACCTAAGACTGGGTGCCAACAACTTCGGGTATGGCGCTCGCTGTAAAATACCTATTGCTATAAAAATTTTATAAATCCTATTTAAACCTGAATATCTTTGAAATCATCCATCGAGGCATTCCTGTCCTACGGCGTTCGTTCCCTGCGTTCCTCCTCGCCCCCAGGTAAAGGGTGCTCATCCCGGTGTCCGTAAGTAAGGAAACCCTCATACCTCGTCCAGGACCACCATCTGCGGCTTGAGCTTCTGGATTTGGTCGCCTGCCCGCGACAGCGTGTCATAGCTGATCACGACCATCTTGGGCTTCGCAGAGGACCAGCTACCCCGCAGCTGAGGAGTGTGGGAATGTTTGTTTGTTCGGGGAAATTATCTTTTTCCAGCCCTAAAGCTCAGCCATTCACTCAGCCAGGCAGACAGGCAACCAGGAAGTCAGATTGATGCGGCTTAGATACCGCGTTTCCAGTGCCCGGGTGGCCCGTCACGCCACGTTGCGATTACACGGTATGGCAAGGTTTGACACCTCTGAACAAGTCAGGAGGATGCAATCACGTCCCGTGTTAGCCCCATCATACGCCCACACACTACCAAAGCTGTGTTCCGGGCAAAAAGGCCCTCGTTCTTTCTCTCCCTCCGTTCCCCCCTGCCTTCCTAATATACCCCAGGCCCCACCGCGATACAACACAACGCTAACACTGTTCATTTACAACGTCATGCAATAGCACGCAGCCACGCACCGTATCAACGTCCTTGGGCGAATTGATCAGAAACACCTCCTGGTCCGTGAGCTTCAGCCACTGCAGAGGGATGGCCGCACAGGAGAGGCGCCGCATCGTCAGCGGGGAGCGGTCCGGGTGGGTAAGGGTGGGAGAGAGGCGGCCTCCCACATGCACAGTGCCACAGCGCCACCACACAATGCGCCCCGCGCCCTGCGCGTCTTCCAGAATGATGCTTCTTCACCCCAGCCAATACGGATGCGGTCCGCCCCTGCACGTCGTGGACTGTATGCTGCTTCCTGTCTGTATTTCGATTTTATTTGCTTCTCAACTAAATGCACCCGACCTTTCCTCACCCCGGCTGCTCTTTTCCCGTCATCCATCATCATCCTCCGCCTACGCACCTACTCACCATGAACAGCGCGTCAGCCCAGGTCTCCCTCAGGGACTTGGGCACTACCACCAACGCCGGCCAGTCCTCAGCGTAGCATTTGAGCAGGCAGCAAGCCTACCAAGCCGCAACGCAGCGCGACGCATAGGGGTTAGAGAAGCAAACCCGCCGACTCAGATGGCGCAGGCGGGCGGAAACATGGGCAAGATGCTGCGAGCAAGAGAAACTGCCTTTCAGGGAGAATGGGGAAGTAGTAGCAGAGCGGGAATGTGCACCAAAAGGAGGAGTGTTGCGAAGGGCTGTCACTTGTTTGGCGCCAATGCACCATAACGGCGCGGTGCGTGATTACAATTAGCAGGCAGGTAGGTAGGCAGGTAGGCACGATGCCGTCCACTATTCGTAATATCCCCCCCTACCTGCACGGTCTTCCCCAGTCCCATCTCGTCTCCGATGAGCGCCCGGCCGCCCAACCGGAGTGCATGCCTGCGTGGGGATCAGGGCAGTGGGATGGAATCGCTCTGATGGGATGGAAGCAGCCCACGTCCGTGACTTGTCCAAGCAGCAATTACCATGTTACCATGCCGTGCCTGGTGCCACGGCCACCACCCCAAGTGTGTTCCTCTTCTCAGCCACACTCCGTTGTCCAAGCTGCTGTAGCAGTGGCGAATCCCGTCGCGGACCCCTGGCAATGCCCCTCACCCAACCTCAGAAAAAGGGGGTTTGCAGACGCATTGCTTCTGACAATTACCCCCCACCCAACCCATCCCCCATCCCATATGAGCCCCAACAGCACACCTGACCCCGTCGCGCTGGAAGGGCATCATCTTCTCGTCCAAGGACTGCTCGCCTTCATGCGCCCGACGCATCAGCTTGTCGTATTGCCGTTCGTCGTTCGTACGCGACGCTGCGGCTTCCAGCATGTTCTTCACGAAGTCAGGCAGGGTCTGTATCGGGCGGCCCGTTGGGGACCACATAGCAAGGTTCACCCATCACAGGGACAGTTGCATAAAAATACCCTAGACAAACAGATGCAGATGCGTTGAACATATCCACCAAGTGGGTTTCAGCGCCGCGTGAAAGGCACCTCCCAACACCCCACCTGCACCATGTGCGAGCTTGCACGTCATGGAAGAATCCACGCACTGAATCGCGGCATCCATAGACACCATTCCCCAACCCCCCTGACTAAGGAGGACACATTTTGCAGATCTGCGACAGCTCCTCTGGGTCACATACCCTTGCACATTTCCGCCTACGTGCCTCCATGCACCCTGGTATGACAAGACCACCTCCCGCGCCTGGTGGGCTTCCAGAGTCCCGCCTCGCCCCCACCACACACATGCATTTGCTCATCTTCTACGCTCCCTGCTCATCTCCCCTCTACCCGAATCCCCTAGGACGTTGCGGCATCCAGTCACATTCAGACGCGACCCATGAGCTGGTCCGCTTTATGTCCCCTGCTCACCGGCTGCAGGCTGACCACCACCCTGCGCGTCGCCAACCGCCCGCCGGTCAGGGCCTCCATGACGTGCCTGTACTCCGACAGCGGGAATGTCCAGCCCTGGACCTTGTGGTCGTAGCCAGACGCGCCCCTGATGATGCCGAACACCGCCTTCAGCGCGTCGTGGAAGCCCACCTGCGTCAGAGGAAACCTCCACCTTCACCATCGTAAGCTTCAGCTTCAGCCACTAATGTAAGCTGGTAGTAATGGTGATTGGGCATTCGCTGCCACCCTGAGCACTGGTGGTCCTGGTAATGGTCCCGAAAAACCATTGGTGATAGAGGTCGAGATGGCCGCACACGTTCATGGTGATGGATGCCAATACACCGTAAGGTGCCAGGCAGGGACTGCCTTACAGTCTTAATCGCAAAGCGGAACCAACAAAGACTTTTTGTGGATTGTGTGATATTACTGTTACGCGAGAGCCTCTTTTAGGCCCACAGCACTGCGATATGCAGTACTGCTGGACGCACTCCGCGTGTTTCTGCATCCGGACCGGCCACCGGGCTCCCCTCCGGGGTGTAACCGGCCTCCTTGCGACCCAAATGCGACTGCCGCGGCGGACCACGTACCCTGACAGCGAACCTTTTATTGTCCTCCAGCGACAAGGTCGCGGTGAATGTCGCCTGGCGAGATGATGATGATGATGATGGTGGGCCAGCTGGCTGCGGTACCCCACTACTAGCAGCAGCAGCAGCACCCCCTCCACCAACTGATGCAAGGGCACCATCACGCGCCGTGCCTGAGTTGTCGCCTGCCGCTGCTTCTGGCTGCTGCTGCATCGGGGCTCGCTGCATCTGTCCTTGCAGGTGCGGCTGAGACGGGTGCTCCTGGGCTTTCAGGAAACTTCCTGGCGCTTGGCGAGTTTGGTGGTGAGCCAGGAGTGCTGTTGGGGCTCCAGGCATCGGCGGCTGTTGCTGCAGCTGCTGTGTTTGCTTCAGCATCGGGTTCTGCGCGGGAAACTGCTGCTGCTGCTGCTGCGGAGGAGGAGGAGGAGGAACGTTTTGCACCCACGCCTGTTGCTGTTGCTGCGGCGGTGGGTTCTGCGGCCAGGGCTGGTGCTGGCGTGTTTGCTGCGGTGGGTGCTGCTGCCAGAGCTGCTGCTGAGGGTATTGCTGCAGGGGAGGTTGTTGTATCAGCTGCTGTTGCAGCTGCTGCGGTAGCGCTTGTCCTTGCAGCTGCTGTGGTTGGGCCCCCGCGCCAAGTAGAGAACCCTGGCCCTGCTGCGGCTGCTGTTGCGGTGGGGGCGCTGCTGGACATGTTTGACGATCCTGTTGGGGAGGGAAAACCACTACCGACGCACCGTGAAGGGGGTGCTGCCTTTGTTTCTGCTGCTGCTGCTGCTGCTGCTGCTGCGCGAGCGGCTGCGGTGGCAGCCGCTGGTTTTGCTGCGGCGCTTGAGCGGGCTGCGGATGATGCCCTGGGATCATCGATTGCTGATGTGACTGCTTGTCTTGTTGTTGTTGCTGCTGCAGTAGAGGCTGCGGTGCCTGCCCGTGCAATAGTGGGTGTTTTTGCTGCTGTGGCAGCGGTGGCGGACATTTCTGGAAACTAGTAACAGGCTGCTGTACATCGCCGAGATTTTGGTGCTGGTAGTGCTGATGACCACCGCCGGACGATTGAACGCCTGGAACCCCGTGAGTAGGAGCGTGTTGGTGGTGATGCCACTGCTGCCGCTGTGCATGGTTACAAGGTTGCAGCGGGTGGCCATGCGAGCTGGCCCCCTGCTGAGCAAGGCCCTGGGCGACCTGTGGTGCCTGATTGTGTTGCTGCTGAAGAACCGGCGGCGGCTGAATTCCAGCAGATGCCTGCGCACCGTTGCCGAAGTTGTGACAAACCCTCCTTATGGTAGGAAAATAGCAACGAGAGGAAGTCCGACCTCAAAGAAAAGCAGCACAATATCTATATTGTACCTGATGTTTTTCAACTAGCTTGTCAAGGTAATCGAAGTCATACTGATCTGCATCGTCATCGTCCAGCATCCCGCTCTGCGCGGCGAAAACTTAAAATACCAACAGCTCAGAGGGAAGCAATTCTATAAAATCGCGGTCATGCACTTAGGGTCACACAGCGCTTCATGAGGCCGCCATAGCATAAATGCTGCGCCTGCTGGCCGGGAGATGCCCAAACTGCCACACCGGACCAGCGACCAAGCCTTGTGAGACTTTGTCACGGCCTTGTGATGCAAATAAAACTAGAGGAACGCAATGCTTGTCAAAGTATAAGCAGCAAAAAGGCGTTTGGTAGAACAGCTTTGCCAAAGTTGAATCCACGTACGGCACTGTTATTACTGGTTGCAACAGTGGTTTAGCTCATTCAATCGCAAGTGTGGTATATGTCCTATACGCAACTAGGCCAGGGCAGCAGATACGGGGTCCTGCAATCAGAGTATTACACTGCCTGCATCGCAACCCGAGTTCTTAGTCTTCTAACCTTAATTACAAAGTTGTGTAGCATCAACATTATCAGCTCCATCCGTATCTTTGCAGCCGTTCTTTTGGCGCCGTTCAGATGCTTCCACTATCGCTGCTGAAGACAGCACAACGTCATGCCGTCCTAGTAGAGCTGAAGAACGGCGAGACATACAACGGCTATCTACAGCAGTGCGATACATGGATGAACTTGCACTTGTCAGAGGTGATCTGCACATCGAAAGATGGACAGCGTTTCTTCAAGATGCCGGAGGCTTACATTAGGGGCAACACGATTAAGTACATCAGCGTTCCAGAGGAGGTTATTGGCAAGGTTCAAGAGGAGAACTTGAAGCGCGACGAAAAACGCCCGGCGGGTGGCGGCCGCGGCAAGGGTGGACGTGGCTGGGCAGTTGGCGGGCGAGGTGAAGGAGCTGGAGGCGGAGGGCGTGGCAGAGGCGAGGGGGGCCGTGGTCGAGGCGAGGGGGGTCGCGGCCGAGCGGGTGGGCGAGGAAGGGGTTGAGGCAAGCACGGCCCTGTCCTCCCCCCTTGGCTGCAGTGACAGGACACTTGCAACATTTAAACGGAATATATCTCACAGGTCAGTTTAGATATCTACCTTTACCGACTGTATACACGGGGGAAAATGTGAGCATTTAGCTGGTGACTTGACGTTGCTACGCTGTGGAGGTGCGCATTCCGCGGCCATTGCGTGGATTTTATGTGCACTGCACGATGCCAACGGCTCCCTTACGCGAAAGGTGGCGCTGAGCTGTCAAATGTTAGGGGCTGACATGCATGACAGCGCGTGGGCCGGCAGCTCAAGCTCACCTAGTGCTTAGGTCAGCGCGGCGTACGGAGGACACGTGAGGCTGGTGTGAGTCACGCGCCTTTTCAGTCTGCAATGTTGTTCATGGCCTGTGAAACGTTGCGGCCTTTGCTACTGGTGGGCAGTATGCTTTGGGTTGAAGCTCTGCACGCCGTAGGTAGTTTGACTGGGGCGCTTTTTCGCGTCAGAGGAGTGAATAGCTGTCGGCGCGCCAGTCTGGCGATGTAGGGATGCGATTCTGTTGTCGTTTAATTTGCTGGATGCTTTGCTGCAGAACGTTGCCGTGCGTGGTGAAAGCGATTATGGAGGGTATCGCGGTGTCACGTTTGCATGATCGCGAACGGAACGCAAGGCTTTAGTATATTGACCCTGCAAGGCTGAATCGCCCGCGAGCGGGCCTCGCAGCAACGAGAGCCGACCCTGTTGCGTCAGAGCCATAACTGTATCCCTGTACATTTCTTTCATCCCTTCCGCATTTTAAGCAAACCTCAGCAAAAAGCGAGATCCCTACCTAGATTGCAAGGCATATACCAGGACATATCTCCTCTGGTCATAACATAAGGAATCTCTGCCCGATTTGGTTGGGAGTTGCATATGTCAACGGACTCTGCCCCCCAATCCCATGAAAAGTATCCGAAATTAACTGAGATCCGGATCAAATCCAACTGATATATGCCCTTCACGCAGAGCTACGTTTGCAATTGTTAACATCCTGAGATATTCTCCAAACGCACCCACATCACGTAACATATATCTGCATACTGGGGGACGTTTCACAAATGCAAGACGGACATCGCCGGCAGCGCTGGCGCATCAAGGCATCATATGCCCTATCCGAGTCGCTCGTTAAGCAGCCCTGGCAGCCACACGATATAAAGAGCCAAAGGAGAGGATTATAGTAATAAAAAGGCTGTGCGCACGGGTCCACATGTACAAGCTGCATGCACACATCAACACGTCACATCACGTGTGTACTTGAAGGACAATTGAGTGAGACCACGTCAGACATTTGTGACGCACGCCACACCACCACTAACGCTATGGAGTGTGCATATATGAACTAAGACATATGGACAGACGCACAGGCTAGCGAGACGCTTGGGCGCAACCTGCGGAATCGCGCGCATCGGAGTCCGCCAAGTGACTCTGACCAAGTGACCTCCTCCCTCAGCCATTCACAGCCACCTAGTCTGTTACCCAACCACTAGCCAGCCACCTAGCCCGTAGCATAACAGAAAACACGTCCAAAACCACTGGCTACTGTCCTGGCCTGGGCCTCGTCTGTTCAGTCACTTTTGCGGCATCACCAACTGCACCTTCAGGACACCCTTTGTACGAGCCAGCTCCAGCGCCTCTTCCCCACGCTCCAGGGGCAGCTCCGCGCTGATCATGGATCTCAACAACTGCCGTACACCCGCGTCCGACGCCATAAGCTCCAGCGCCTTGTCGAAGGGACCGCACCTGTCAGCACCGCCAATCGGAACACAACAACAGTTGCGGTTGTTGGAAGAATTAGCAACAGAGATTGCAGCAAAACCACGAGCAGTATATGCTTTAGCTAACTCGCTTTTGTTCAAATTCCTGTAGCAACAGCGCAATTACCGAGTAGTAGCAGCTCCAGCAACAAGGTCAAGAGCAGCAGCATATAGGGTAGCAGGTGCATGTAGCACACCAATATCATCAGCAGCAACACATACAGCGGCGCAGCAGCAACAACAGTACATCATCAATTGTGCCATGGCAAAAGCAAAACAGCGCCAGCCAACAGCCGCATCCTAAAAGCAGCTCAGCGGCACCCCCACCACCACCCCCTCCCACCTGCTTCCCACCAGGACCTTCTCATTCACCACGATGTCGTTGGCCAGCTCCGCCCAGCCAGGAGCCCGGGGGCCAGGACTCGCACCGCTCTTGTCGCCACGGCACCCACCATTATGCAGCTGTTCCTCGTCGTCCTCCCGCTGCTGCTGTTGCAGCTGTGGTTCCTGTCGCTGCTCGTTTGTACTCACAGTGGACTTGAGCAGAACGGTGCCCATGGGCCGACACAGCGCCAGTGCGGTTCGGATACCCCCTGCGGAACCTGAGGACATGCAGCGAGAAAATAATCGCGCAAAAGGGAGAAACAGACAGACGGACAGACAGACAGATAGGTAGAGGAGAGCAGCGGAAGAGGGCATAGAAGCAGAACGGAGAATGGTGGGCAAAGGGGGAAGCAAGGGGACAGCGGACAGGACGACGACGACGGCGACGACGACGGAGCAACAAAAGGAAACAATCATCCACCGCAGGTTAGGGATTAAGGAGGAAAAGATCAATGAAAACGGCGAAAGTGGGCGAACACAAGCGTCGTGTAAGGCTCCAGAACGCGTTTCCAGGTCGCACGCGCGTGACCTGCCGTACAAAACTGCCGTCCGTACCTACCTGAAGCTTCAACAACCAGGTCGAACTGCCCTGCCAGACGCTCTGCCAGCGCCGTGCCGTCGCCCTCCGAAACCAGCTGTCCGGGTGAGAGGCCGAACGAGGGGGGAGAGACACGCCAGGCACCATTTGGTGTCTCGAGGTAGGTGGTGGCAGTGGTGGTGGTGGTGGCGATGATGCTGTGTATTTGTCGCGGGTCCTGAGGGTCTCAGGCTCACGTGCATATGTGGGTGCAGAGTGGGACGCGATAGCAGCCCTGAGGACCACCGCGTTTGCCATCACCGCCCCCGCCTCCGGATGTCGCCGTATCCCTATCTGCCATATAAGTACCCTGAGTCGCCAGCTGCTGCCCATGCATTTTACAACCTGCTGCCCATTACTGCCACCGCAAGAGAACCCCCATAGTCCCCTGGCCTCTGCTAGAGCCTCCTCCTCCTCCTCCTCGCCTCCTCCGCCAACCCCGTTACCCGCTCCGCATCGCCCTGCACCAGCGCCATCTTGGCGGCATGTCGCCCAATCAGAGTCACCCGGGGGCCCCCCGCCGCCGCCACATGCCGCACCAGCACCTGCCCCACCAACAGCCCCAGCTTGCCGTCACCTAGGGTAGGGTTAGGGGTAGGGTAGCGCGGGGGATAGAGACACAGAATGAAACACGCCCAAAGAATACGTGTCTTGTGTATGTTTATGTGTTTGTATGCTTGTATGTTTGTACATATTCGTATGCTTGTCCGTTTGTGTGTGTTTTTTTGCCTCCTCGGTCCGTTCATCTTCTTCCCTAACCCTCGACCCCCCCACCGGCCCCTTCCCACCCCCCTCCGCCACCCACCAATGACCGCCACCCTGTCGGACTGGGGCCTCGCGGGTAGGCCCTGCTCCAGAATGCGACACGCGGCCGCGAGGGGCTCCGCGAACACCGCCTCCGCCTCCGCCAGCTGGGGGGGTACGGGATGCAGGTTGGCGGCCGGCAGCGTGAGGTACTCCGCCAGGGCGCCGTCGCGGTTGATGATGCCCAGGACTGACCTGGCGTTTGGATGAGACGTTGGAGTGGGGGAAGGGGAAAGGAAGAGGGCGGGGCCAAGGAGAGGTGTAAGACAGGTGCGGGGCCAAGTGCTGTTAAGGAGCGGTGGATGCGGTAACGATATCCTACACGCTGTAATGTTGTGACGAGATGGTAGGGCAGGTAGTTGTAGCGTTTCGCGACGGAAAGGCCAGGGGGGAATCGAGCTCTCAGAGGAGGCGGTCAACGGTCAAGGCACACATGTGGTTCCCACCCGATGGGGGCCTTACCTGCCGGGCGCGTGGTTGCGCTGGTACACGGCATCCCCGCACGTGAAATGCAAGTCGTTGCAGTTAATCTCGCCAACCACCCGCGTACCAACTGCCAGACGCTCCGTGATGCCGTTGCCCTTGCTATTGCTAGAGCTGAGCTCCTCTGCCGGGTTGGTGCTGATGCTGGGCCTGGGTTGCTCAATGTCGGGGCCGAAGGCCACCACGACTCCGACAAATTCGTGGCCGAGTACACCGCAGTATCCAGGAACGTATCCCCGACAGATCTCGAGATCCTGTAAAAGTAAAGGTGATAAAGGTATAAGGTAGTTAATCGTCAACTATCGGTACCAACCGTCGCAGCGTCGCTGATTATGATCAGCCTATGCTCACGCCTTGCGCTGAAACAATAGTAGCGTAACGAATCAGAAACTAAGAGCTTCACACGTAACAGCTAAAGCGAGACGGGCACGGCGCAATTCATAGAAAGTGATGAGTCGGACAGCTATCGGACCCACCGTTGAGCAAATTCCGGCTCTTAGGACCCTAATTATCGCTTCTCCCGGTCCAGGGACAGGTAGCGGTCGCTGCAGCTCAAGGGCAGCCTTGCCAGTTACAGCTGAAAAGGTGAGGGCCTGCATGGTTTGTAAGCTTATAGGACGTTTGCCTGATCAAACGATATGCATAAACGATTTGGCTATCATAGAGATAGCCAAACTAAATCTTGGTTTGGTCGCTTTTCAATTTCATGGTAGTTTACTATGTACAGTAGACTGCCGTCCATAGGGCCAAAGTGGTCACAATTACTGAACCTGTAATGATTAGGTGATGTATGTTGTGATATCGGCATTCCCCATGGTACATTGCCTTCCTGACGGCCCTGTCGTGCATGTGCAGGTTACGTGTGTTATTGCTCCCTGGCGGCCCGAGCTTCCTTCCCTTCACCATCTGGGTAATCGCGCAATAAACGAAAACATTAACCGAAAACGGTCTTAACTGTCCCCTCAAGCCTGTCTGTACTGATCAGCTCCCCTCCCAACAAGCCTCTCGAGGCGCCGCAACTCCCCCGAGCCCCGGCTTCTAGCCTTGGCCTCCTACGTTAAATCGTAGCACTTTGATCTCACCAGTATTGCCCGGTAACAAAATCCATTTTTTTGAAAAAAGTGGAGGCCGTTAGGAAGCAAATTGCTACCTGAAGTATTGCAGTTCCATTATCCAGGGCCTGCGGTGTACATATAAAATATGTCAATGATGCGCGTGAGAGGAGATGGCTGATGCAACACATTTTATCACGCGCATTCTCGGCAGATGTGCTTCACGAGCGTGTTGTACGAGTTGACTGTGCGAGTATTCGTGACGCGATGGATGCTTGCTTTTAAGTTACAAATCCTGGTGTGACATTGTATCCATATACAAGGTTGTTCGTCATGAAACATTGAAAAGCAAATCGCAAGCTGATGTTCTTGCTTTCCCACGGCCACGAAAGCCTACTAGACTGCAGAGGCTTCCATTATTGAACCGTCATAGCTTCCCTCCGGCGCTATCGATGTCTCATCATGCCGACCGAGGACAGGAATGAATGCCGTCACAAGCTACAGCCAGTCAACGATCTTTCGTAAAGTTTGAACAGATAACTCCTCGACGCGTTTCTCCCTGTTTGAACCGTCTTACAACTGGGCGCCAGACAAACAAAATACCACATCAAAAAGAATGCACTTTACTGCGACTATGATTACTCGTCGTCTCATCATCAGCATCACCATCATAAATGGCTGCACCATCATCTCAGCAGAGCAGCCAGTGTTGTCGGCGAAGCCACTCAGTTTCAATCCTCGCGCCTTGTTTGAGATGATCGTTCTTCAGGGCTTTAAAGAACTCTCCACGCAAGGAGTAGAGCCTTCCGTATCTCCGGCTCCGGAACCATTTTCTAGTGTTCCCTACCAAGCATGCGCAATCCGCAACCCCAAGATACGGGGAAACACAAACCGAACAGTATCACCACATACAAGCGCTCTTTTGCCGCGCACTCATGACAGCTACATACCCGTTCACAATGCACCACACCCGCAATACTGCTGTAAATACAAAAAAAATGACACGCGTAAGCCTGTCGCCCTTTCGAGCATCACAGCCTGCTAACTTCTCAGGCAAAAATTCAAATGCAATCGCACACCCTGTAAGATCGAACATGTTTTAAACAACTCTCGACTCCCATGCTGTCCCCGACAGGACAAAGATATTAACATTAACAGAGAAAAGATACATATAATCCAAAGTTCGACAATCTCCTATAACAATCGATGATGCAAACCAAACCGACCAAAGTATGGAGTCCATCCCGGGAGGGCATTGTCGCCCTTGTTCTCACGTGCTTCCCATCCACCGCCGCCAGCAATAGATGGGCGCGCAGCGAAGCGAACCTGCCCCCTAAGAAACTACTTCTTTTTCGCACACACAGAGAGAGTCGTCCAGACAAGTCTATAACCCCTTCAAACATTTTAGATGCATGTTGCGTAAAGGCACACGTCTACGCGCATGTGCATGTGCGTGCTGAGGATGAGGATTTGTGCGCGTGTGTTTTGGTAGGTTGGTCGGTCCGATTGGGCACCGAAAGAGCAGCGGCCCGGTAGATAGGCCCCGCCCCACCTAAGCGGAAACAGAGCGGTACCGGCAGGCGGCTGGTTTTCTGCATCCGCACACCTTCACTCGGAACTACTGGCAGACGGCGAGTGTGCAAGACCGTGTGGTGATGACGTCTAGCCTGTAGGAGGTGACCCCAGTCCTCACACCGCCTGAAACAGGATGACAGCGTATTCCCGCTCCAAAAAGCCCTCATTTGAAATAGTTACCAGTGAAAGATGCACCAACATCAGCAGCTTGATTCCCATTGCGTACCGTTGGAGCCACCCTTCTTTGGAGCCCCGTGCCCGCCGCCGACCACCAACTTCAAAGAAAACAGTCCTCCTTCTCCTCCTCCTTCACCTATTCCGAAGAACCGTGCGTGCCTTCTCCAAATGAGTGACCGAAATTTTACGCATGCACGAATAGCAAGAGAACTGTTATAAAGTTTGTAACCATCTTTGTACGCTCTTTCCGGGTATCTCGTCCACTAATCCTGCACGCACTTTTTCCATCTACATGGGCAGCAGCAATCTTAACATTCCCCGAAAGTTCGCCACACTCAAACATACCACGTAAAGAGTCCCGTCGCTCGAAAAGAAGTCCACGATCCCAAACATGCGCAAATTTCCCCAAAGGAGAACCTTCAAGTCACGCCTCCCCATCACCCTTTGTGCCACACCTCTGTGCTGATGCTTCCTCTTGTGGAGTACAACATGTACAGCATGTCCTAGCCATTACGTGATGTCGTATGTATAGCACCTCTCCACTGGCTCTCTCTTTCACTAGTCTGGAGCCCACTGTGACAACCACACCTCTCTCCACGACGGATTGAAGCTCCAGGAAATGCACTCAAGCCCTTCACAATCGCGAGATCTCGTTCTCACACTCGGGGACTTCTCTCACACCCTCCTCAGATCACTGTCCAAAAACCACAACATTCAGACAGGCCTACAGATGTTTGCTTCCACACCAACACGCGCCCAGCAGCAACAACAGGTCTTGCTGCAGGAGGAGGGGTATATTGGGCTGTACCACCGTCACACATACGACTCACCCTCACCACACCACACAGATCAACAAAAACGTTTCTCTTCTCTCACTCTCGCTGTCCCGGCTTTTTGTGTTTACGGACCGCCCGGCCCCCTAGACCAAAAAAAGCTTTTTGTCGTCTCTCCTTTTCATTCCTTTCATTCCGCTCGTGTGTTGTTGGCCATCTGTCTCTCCAGCTCCTCCACCTCACACATCAAAGATTTTGGAATGAGAGGCCTCGCAATCTAAAAAAGGAAAATCAAAGGGCTGTTTTACCAAACCTAATTCCTATAGCCCCAAACCCACCCATTTACCCACCCAAGCTCAGTTTCATTCCATCCATCAGTATGTCCATACGTTCATATTCACTTTCACTACATAGGGCCTCTTACGCAATCGTGGAGCTCACCAGCCCACCAACTTCCCCTTGCCCCCCCGCCCCCCGCGTCTAAAACAGACCCGTTTGCATCAACAAAGTGCCGTACGCCGCCACCGCCGCCGACAGCGCCGCCGCCGCCACTTGCTGGCCCTCCACACTCCTCACGCCCTGCCGGCCTACGAGCGACAGCAACTGACCTGTCAGTGCGTTTGGCTCCACCCCATCCCGTCGCATCGCGCCAAGGAGTTCCAGGGCCTTATCCGGCTGACCAGCCCGCTCGCACGCGGCCAACAGCGCGTTGTAGACATCAGCTGACGGCTGCACACCCGCGCGCCGCATGCGCGTACGGACCCTCATGGCGCCCTCCCAGTCCCCCGCGAGACTGTGGGCGGCAATGAGGCCGCAGAAGGCGAAGTCCCGGGGCCGCAGGCCGGCGGCTGTCAGGGCCGAGAACACCGCCTCGGCACGATCTGGAAGACCCGCCATGCCGTACGCCGCAATCATCGTCTCGTGAGTGACCGTGTCGGGCTGTCGTACCTTGCTGTAGAGCTTCTCGGCAATCTGAGGGGGGAGGGCGAGAGGAGGGTAAGGAGAGCCTGGTCGGGCGACATGGAATGTGCGAGAGCACCCCCCCCCGCACCACACCCACACACACCCACACATACACCACACATATATACACATACATACACCGCTGCACAAACATGACACCCCGCCAAACTGTCCTCCGGGGGATCCCACAGCGCCTCTCTCACCTCCAGCTGGCCTGCCTTGCCCGCCGCTGAAATCGCGGTGTTGTACATCACGGTGTTGGGAGTGATACCCAGGTTCATGGCCCGCAGCAGCACCCCCACCGCCTCCTGCCACTTGCCAGCCCGCTCGTACGCCAACATCAAGGCGCCGCAAACAACTTCGTTCAGCAAGCCGTGATGGTGAGGGGAAGAGTGGGAGGAACCGGGTATATGGGTGTGATGGTGGTTGTGGTGGTTAACGGCAGTTGACGGGGCAGGGGGACCCGCCAGCATAGTCGCGGGTGAAGGTGCTGTCGACGGCGCCGACATGTCGACGGCGTTAGCAGCAAAACCCAGAGGGAACGAAGCCGCCGCCGCGGCTGCCGCCACCGGTGCCGACGGCACGCCGCTACCTGGAGCTCCGGCCATGTGCCCTATTGCGACGTGATTGCTAAAGGCAGATACGTCGGAAGCGGCGGCGGCGGCGGCGGCGGCGGCCGCCGTCAGCTGGCTGGCGAGGGTCCCGGCGGAGGCGCTGTCCAAGGCAGACCTCCAGGGATGGGCCACCTCCGTCGAGGAAATCGCCTGAAGGATACCAGCCCCTGCCGCCGCCGCCGCCATCGCCGTGTTAGTCTCCATTCCGCTGCCGTACAACAGGGAGGACGACAAACCGCTCCGACTAGCGCTACCGCTACTCAAAGGCACATCATCAGTTACACAGAAGCTAGAAGCGGATAGGGGTGAGGACGGCGCCGTGGATGCTGCCGCTGACGCCGCCGCCGGCGGGTGGCTGAACAAGCTAAAGCTGCGACGGGACGGCTCCGCTGAACTGGCGGCGTCTGCCTCTGCAGCGGCAGCGGCGGTGCCGCCGGCCGCTAGCGACGTCAGGTCCAGGGAAAGGCCGTGCAGCTGCGACGGACGAGTCCAGGTTCTCTGAGGAGCAGCGTACGAGGCAGGGTTGTCGTACATGCCGCCGCCGGCAGCAGCTACGGCTACGGCGGAAGATGATGTTGAGGATGCCGCGGCCTCGACGGATGCCGTCACGGCAGCCTGTGCCAGCAGGGCCGTCAGTGGACTGATGAGCTGCGGTGCCCCCGCGGCCCCCGCAGCCGATGTGGGTACGGATGCCGCGGGCGAGGACGCCAGTGCCGCTGCGAGGGAGAGCGCGGCGGCGGCTGGCGGCGCCGCGGCGGCGGGGCCCAGCACCTGGCGCTCAATGGAGCTAAACACGGCCTCCGCCAGCTGCCATTGACCGTGCTCGCCGAGACTCTGTTTACATTGGGGTAAGAGGGGCCCGATCAGATTTACCAGAAACGCCCGTTACCAGAAAGTACTGATATAGCAAAATTGCCGAGACAGTCACCTCCCAAAAGCCGTGTCACATGTTCACACAAACTAACAAACATACATACGTACACACACATACAAGCATACACGCATTCATACACAGCGAGAGTCGTACAGAAGAGCGTACACGCGCACTCCCATACGGAACACACATACATACACACACACACCTTCAGGAGGGCCGAGTAGGTGTACGCGTTGGGTTGTACTCCCCCCCATTCCGGGGTCTGCATCCGCCCCAGGACCTCCACTGCCCGCGACCACCGCTTCGCATTCCCCAACGCCGCCATCAGAGCAGTGTACGTCCGGGCATTCGGTCGTACACCGTTTGCCAACATCCAAGCCACAACTGCCTCGGCGCGGTCCGCTTCGCCGCCCGACGCTAACGCCGTAATAAGTGCCGTACAGGATACGACATCGGGCCTGATGCCGGCGGGACCTGTCATCTCGTCAAACAGCGCGACGGCGCGACTCCAGTCCCCGGCGGGAGCACACGCCGATATCGCCGCAGAGAAGGCATGACCAGTCGGCTCGCAACCTGCATGTACGTCCGTATGTGTATCATAACGTGTGAATGTATCTATGTATGTGTGTTAGGAAGTCCGGGGAGAAAAGAGCGGAAACCCAAATGTTGTGGTATCAATGGGCAGGTGTGTGCTTGTGTGTATTGAAACCCCAACCAAACTGATCTCCAACCACCAACCGCCAAACCTCTACCCTCCCGGGACTGCCCTCCTCCCATCCCACTCACCCGAAGCCCGCATATCTGCCCAGATGTCTAGGGCCCGGTACCACCGGCCGCCCTCGGTGGCGGCGCGCATCGCGGCAGTGTACGCGTGCACCGTCGGGGCCATGCGGCTGCCCGGCGGCGCCGCCCGCATGGCGCCGTACATCGCCAGCGCCTGGTCCGTAAGGCCCAGACGTGTGCACAGCTCTAAATAAGTGATGCACAGGCGGCAGTCCATTTGGAGGCGGCCGGCGGTATGGCGGCGCCAGGCCTCGTTCCAGATGGACATGGCGCGGTCCGTCAGGCCACCCGCCAGCGCGGCGCGCATGGCGGCGGTGTAGGTGTACGCGGTGGCTTCGAGCCCGGCACCGCCGGCAGCGGTGGAGCCCGTCATCCAGTCGTACACCGCCAGGGCGCTGACGGCGTCGCCGTGGTCGGAGCAGACGCGGATGAGCTGCCATGGGGAGGTTGTGGTGGTTGTGGGAATGGTGATGGGTCAGTAATATTGAGAGCTGAATAAGGAATAATGGAACAAATTACACAATTACCACAACGACAATTACAACACAATGTAGACGCGCCAGCAACTCACACAAAGACGCAAAAGAAAAACCATGCCTTAAATAGTTAAATATACATACATACATACATACATACCGTGGTGCACAGGCGGTCATCTAGCTGGTGGCCTGCGGCCTTGAGCCACTCGAACAGCAGCAACGAGCGCCGCCACGTGGCCTTGTTGGCGGAGAGGGCCAGCACCAGCTTGTCCAGCTTCCAGTTGTCCAGGGGCAAGCAGGAGGCGGGTAGACCCCCCGGGGGGGGCAGGGACACGGGGCAGGCGGGGTCTCGGAGCGCCAGCAGCTGTGCAGGGAGACCTGCGGGTATGGGGGGAAAGGGGATCGGGGAGAATAATGAGGTGATGAGAGAGGACTGGAGAGGGGGACACTGAGAATGGCGAGGGGGGTGGTGTACGTGTGTGTGTGTTTGATTTTAAACAATTCTCTCAAACCTCACCTGTATCTCCCAGTCCCATCTCGAACCGTCGGCTCTCGGCGGAGGACGCCGCAGCAGCAGTAGCCATCGTCCCTGTCGCAGTAGCAGCACCCGTGGCAGAGGCCCTTTTGCTCAGGGCAGCGCTGCTGCCGCTGCCGACAGCGGAGGCCGGCGCCGACGGGGGCGCGGCAGTGTGAACCGTCACGGTGACGCGGTTACTGCCACTGTTGTTGATTTGCTGGTGCCTGTTGCCGCGAGAGGTGATGGCAGCGGGAGCCGTGACGGAAATCGCCGGTTCGGCAGCGGATGCAGCGGCAGGATTAGCATCGGAAGAGGGAGGTGCGGTGCTGACGGCTGCCGCGGCTGCCATAGCTGCAGCGTGTTGGAGGGAGAGGGCTGTCAAGTCAGCGGAGAGGCGCTCTAGGGGATCCTCGGCGACCTGCTCCAGAGGCTCCGTCTGAGGCTGGCAGTACAACGACAAGGAGTGAAAAGCAAGGTGCAGCAGTTTCAGATGTGATAGCAAGCTGGGCATTTGTGGATCGTAAGTGCATGATTTCGGCAGGAGAGGTAAGCGCGAGGAGTTTGCAGCGCGAAATGTTGCAAAACAGGCAATCGTAGGTTGGGACCGGAGGCATGTTATACGGAAAATTAGAGCGTGCTGCGGGTATGGATTTGAAGGAGATGTATCCCGTGATTTGATTCAAAGCGATGCCTGTGCCACTCCCGCGAAGAGACACGGCGTCAACCTCCAACATGACGAACGAAGATAACAGTTCAAGAAAGATTTGCGGTGCCATTGTAAAGTTAAATAAAAAAGGAAGAATTTTAAATCCCAACAAACGCGCGCAGTCCCTGCCAAGACCTCCAACGTGCTGACGTGCTCAGGGCCACAAACTACCAGAAAGCCCTCCAACGAAAAGCTCACCTGCTCGTGACTTCGCTGCTCCATAGAACGCCGCTCATGGCTACGATCAATTGACTTGCGTACGCGCTCGGTTGCAGTCATGACAGGGGCTCCGGGAGCCGCCGAAGTTCGCGTGGTCGAGCGCGCGCTTGACTGAGCAGGCGCCCGAGCCACAACAGCTGGCGCGTTGAGGGCATTATGGCTTTGATTTTGTCGAGTATGCCCTGTAACACGGGCTGGAAGGCTGCCGGTGCCGCTGCCGGCCGCGGCAAGCGGTGGCCGCGCGGCAATAGACACCATATTATAAGTCTAAGACAATTTCGTACGTATTGTAAGATATGGAAGGCTTAAATCTCAGTTGGGACTAGATTATACACTTGAATAGCGCTTTATGTATAGCACCGCAGATGTAACAGCCCTCACCTACGACTTCCTACTACTACCGATAGGCCAGTAATCAGTTACTTGTGAGCCCCATAAAGACCTCGTCACCGCTGTAGCACGTTCAGACTTTAAGGACTTGTTTCGGCGCCGGCCACCAGGTGTCCCGGCCAATCATTTCGAGAGGGGCTTATGTACGGGTGGTCCGTCTGGCTCAGGAGGAGGACTTCGAGCGCCAAGGGATTTGTTGTACATGTTTGCGAAGCTGCTGTACTTGCGAACATAAAGGCACTGCTTGATCTAAGATCGTTTCTTCTGGCATTTTGTCGTCAATACACGTGCCCTCTACAGAACGTTAAATTCAGTGCTCATTAGGAATGCGCACTCCTAGTAAATTGCTCAGTGTCTAACTTGCAAAATCATAAGCCTGGCAAAATATAAAGACCAATACTGCGCTGCAGCAAGCATTTTGCGGCAGCCTTCGTGCATGTTGAGGCGAGTTCGGTAACGCAACAGGATCACTGGCTTGTGTATATTCACGTGACACCTCTAAGACAAAGCGGGACGAAACCGCTGCAAGCAAATTTGTAGATCAAGATTTGCGTCATTCGTGCGTAAATGTACGGATATATCATTACACCTAGATGCTAGATCATAAATTTCATTCCATTCTCGGTTTCTCGGTTGTGCATCTTTGTCCCCAATAAAACGATGGATGCAACGCGCGCCGTCGAATGATTAAGTTCCATCGTACGAACACAGCACACTATGTTTGATTCTGAAACGGTCTGAAACCAGCCAGTGGAAGTCTCGCTAGCCGTGCGCTCTGCTGCTAAGACCGCCTTGTGTTGGAAACGTGTGTTGTGCTCTGTGTGTGTGTGTGTGTGTGTGTGTGTGTGTGTGTGTGTGTGTGCGCGTGTGTGCGCGTGTGTGTGTGTGTGTGTGTGTGTGTGCGTGTGCGCGTGTGTGTGCGTGTGAGTGTGTGTGTGTGCGTGTGCGCGTGTGTGTGCGTGTGTGTGCGTGTGTGTGCGTGTGTGTGCGTGTACGTGTGCCATTGTGTGATCGTTACTAGTATCTGACCGGGCCTGACACTGGCCAGAGACTGCTGCCCAGCCCCAGCGGACGGGAGAGGGGCGTGAGGGGGTTCTGTCGCCTCCTAAGCAGCCGAGAGCTTCAATGACCTAAGCGGCGAGTGTGGTGGCGGCCGCAATGGTCCCTCCAAGGTATGAGGTCCGAGGCTTTGCTCCCTAGTTCTACTGCCCGCAGCCAAGCTCTCAGAGAGCTCAAAGAAGTTGGTATGATAGGCTCATAGCCTTAGCGCCCTTACCGCACGCAGAATTTGGGCAGAGTTACTCTAGCCAACGAAGGTAAGCAAGTGGCTGAGTGGCCCCTCACTGCCCACCCAGCCGCATCCCGGCCCTTTGCCGCGAGCCAGACCCGCCGCTCCCTACCGCCCTGGGTGCGTGTGTGTGTGTGTGTGTATATGTGTTCTCCCAGGAGTAACTGGCTCAGTTCCTGCGCTCAGGGCCCCACCCGTCCGCAGAAAGATTGGAGAAGGCGTACTATCTGTCTGCCTACCTGTCTGTCTGTCTGTCTGGTCTTCTAGCTTCCCGTCTACCTGTCCGTCCGTCTGTCCTGTACAACGGTGTTTGCCTGTTGTTCTCTCGGGAGCTTGTGGACGGCTAAGCGACCGACGGCCACGGCTGGCAGGAAGGTCCCGCTAGACGCCGCCGTCACTGGCCAAGACATACAGACAGATAGGCACACATGCACATACATACACGTACACATTGAGCGACACCTACCGCTGCTGCGGCTGCTCCTGCCAGTCAACATCTACATCCACGTGAAATTTCCAGCAGCTACGAAGTTTTTACATTTTCACAACGGATTATTATCTGAACACACGTCGCTGGTGACTATTCTGAGCTCGCTTCGGTGTGATGTTTTTCGCGTGTACCACCATCATCATCGCCATGACGAGCTCCCCTTGAGGGCGGGAAAGAACCCCCAGCGCTTCCCCGGGCCCGGCACTGTGCGGCGGTGATCACATCCGTATTTTGTCCTTGGCATCATAGATGATGGTGATTGTGCTGTGGGCCCAAATGGGCTTGGGGACCATGATGGGCTGTAGTGTTTTTTGTCATACGGTAGGGTACAAGCGTCGTACAACAGCCCTAGATGTAGGCTACAATCCATTTCATAGCGTTTCAGGCAGTGTCGTTCACCCGTTTTCCAGACAAGTACTCGCCACAACAGTTTTGGCTGTTTAAGGGGGCTGTGTTCCGGTTCCCCCCACCCCATTTGCTGCATACCATGGTAACCAATGGGTGATAGGGACCGGCACGTTCCGGAGGCGCACCTGTGTTCACAGCCGATATTTTGAAAACCTTCCCCCCGCCCACCAATTTGGACATCCCTCGTCGGAAATATATCTTCCTTCATCAGTGGAATTTGGAACTCATCATGGATATCTGCTATCTCGCAAAGAGCTCGAACAAAGTCTCGTGGTCAAGTTGTCCCATTTCTGGGATATTATCTTTACATTGCGTATTGATGATGTATTACCCTTACAAAAAGGAAGCGCCTGCGCTTGTGGACTGTTATTCACGTCAGTTTCAAGCAAAACGTACGCAGGCTGCGTTTCCTTAAGCGAATGCTCCCTGCAAATACTTACTTTCTTACCTTTCTTTTGTATATAAGTATTTCTCCTGTTGCGTTGTGCGGTCATCCAGCTTGTCCAGGCCGTGTGCTCCGGATGGGTGCTGACGGTTCGTTCTGGATCTGCGCAGGCAAATGCCCTTGAGGCAATCTGCACTAATTAGTTCAGCGGCGCAGTTCCATTTTGCAAAAAATTGTATATTGTTCACCAAGAAAGCCTATCCTTACTGGGGCGCCCAAACTTATCCGCATGTTATCCGGCGCGCCGGCTCGCGCCTGCCCGGCCGCTATACCTCATGGTGGGGTCCTAGTACCTCTAAGTGCTTACATAGCTGCATCTACCTCGCAGCCATGCAGCGCCCTGCGAGCTGGCCGCAAGCGCCCGGTCTCCGAGCTTACCTTGCAATTTTCCGGCTCACGCACCTCTCAGCAGCCGGAGCACATGAACACACCTACGAGGCAACTCAGCATTGTTTGGGCACATGAACGCCAGCCAGGTCCTCAGGAGGACGGGTGCGGGTGCAATGGACCGTGCTCTGCCGACACCAATCATCAATACCAGCACCATCCCCCACCCCAAAATCCGAACCCTCCACGGCAGCCCGGCTCTGGCAGCAACAACTGCACTACCGGAGACTCAGGAGCAGCAAAAGCACCAGGGCCTTTAACCACAGCAGCTGGTGACCCAAGCTCCTCCCCGGCGGCTGCTCGTACACCCCGCGACGCCGCGGGGTCCCCCGGCAGCAGCGGCGAGGGCGACGGCAGTAGCATGGAGGGCACCAGCAACAGCAGCAGTAGCAGCAGCAGCGGGCCCTCTACCTCACTTCCCCTGGGCCCATCTCTAGATTCTGTCAGCACACCCGATTCGGCGGCCGCAGCTTCGGGCCCCTCACCGACCTCGATCAACGGCAGCCCCGGCGCAACGGCTGCAATACCCCCCTCGCCACATCCGCCACAGCAGCAGCCGCAGCAACATCCGCCACAGCAGCAACTGGACTTCAGCTGTACTAACAGCAGCAGTAGCAGTAGCAACATCAGCCAGCCTGACCCGCAATCCCTTCTTTCCCATACCAACAGCAGCAGTGGCGGCGATGACGGCGCCGGTGCCGCCCCTGCTGGTCCCCCACCCGCCAGTATATCCCCGGGGGTTAGCGACCAGGACCAGCACCAGGACCAGCACCCGGGCGGCAATGGCACGGACCCCGACAACAGCGCGAGTCCACCAGACCCGGCGGACCAGCCGGGACAGCTGGGGAGGCTCCCGCTACGGACACCGCCGCCGGGTGCTGATTCCGGAGCCGGAGCTGTCCCCGGGGCCCCGCAGCAGCTGCCACCCTTAAGACTGGACTTCCTGGATTGGGCCAGGATACAGCAGAGGGGACCTGGCGGCAGCGGCGGCGGCGGCGCCGGCGGCACGGGACGAGCGCGTCGGCAGCGCAGCGGCAGCGGTATGTCCTCCTCGTCGGGTTCTGCCGGGGGGGGGATCGGCGGCAGCAAGTCCCGCAGCGACCGTATATTGCAGTTGGTGCTGGCCGCCAAGACGTTGCTCCAGGTTCGTTCCGTCGTCAGTCGGCACCTGCACGACATGTCCCCGAGTACGGCGGCGGTGGCGCTAAGTCGGCTGGCGACTCTTTCTGTGGCAACCATGAGGTTGCGGAGGGCCCAACTGGGTCTTGGGGTACAGGGGAGGGGAGAGCCGCAAGGGAAGGGGAGAAAGGGTGAAGAAGCGGAGCAGCAGCCGGAGGTGGTGGTGGGCAATAGCAACAGCAGCATCGTTGAGGGGAAGGCGGGTGTGTCCACGGTGACGGCAGAGACAGCGGCGGCGACGAAACCGCCGCCGCCACCGTCGCCGTCCGGGCGGACTACACCAGCGGCCGGCGGTGCCGCCGCCGCCGCCGCTACCAAGTCAGCGGACGCTGACGGCGGTGCTGACGTCACCGACCCTTCCTCCCGAGTACAGCAGGGCTCCCTCAGGCTGATGCGCCTGCTACTGCGGCACATTGCCACATCCGTGGACAGCACCGCCGCCGGCGGCGGGGGCGGCGGTGGCCGTAGCCGCGGCAGCGGCAGCGGCAGCGGCGCCGGGTCGACGAGCCCCCGCTGGCGGAGCCCCACCTCGTCTTCGTCATCCGCCGCCGGTGCCTCCGGCACCCCGGGATACCGCGCCCAAAGAGGCGGCGGCGGGGGCGGAGCTGCCGCCGGTTCGTCCGCGTCCTCGTGGCGATGGCAGCCGGCCCCCCCGGGCCATAGGGCTCGTTTGGCCGGCAGTGTGATGGCGACACTTGCGCGTGTGGGACTGAAGCCGGGTCCGAGTGACTTGTGGGCCTTATACCGGCTGGTGGAGGCGGCGAGGTGCGGGTGGTGCGGGTGTGTGTGTATGTGTGTGTGGGGGGGGGAGCGTGTGTGTATATGGGGTATGGAGGTTAGGGCTTGGAGGCGCGGGTGTGTGTCTATGGGGAGGGGGAGGGGATTGCTGGGTGGTTTGCCGTACAGGTAGGGGGGAAAAGTGAGTTTTGGCGTGGTGGTGGTGGCCTTTATGTGAGGGGGTGTGGGAGGGGGAGGGAAAAGGGTGTGTGTATTTGAATGGAGACACATACGAGCAGTTTTACAGGTGGTGAGGATAGCCCACGGATCTGCTACTGCCGCTGCGACAGCTGCTGCTACTGCTGATTCCCCTCCCCTGCCCCCTACTTCCCCTACTTCCCCTGCCCCCTACTTCCCCTGCCCCCTACTTCCCCTGCCCCCTACTTCCCCTGCCCCCTACTTCCCCTGGCCCCTACTTCCCCTGCCCCTTACTTTCCCTACTTCCCCTGCCCCCTACTTCCCCTGCCCCCTACTTCCCCTGCCCCCTACTTC